TCACCTTATCCATACTTTTTATCTATTTTAGGCACCCAGGATTTGATTTTTTCTAGAAAATAGGAAATATTGTAATGTTTAACAAAATGGCGTCAAATGAACAGGTCTATAGACAGGTAGCCAAAAAGAGATGTCCACGTACCTGTAGTGTAGAGCTAGAAAAGATAAATATCAGTCCACCTAGGAAAAAACAAAAGAAATATACTAGATTCATGTTTTATGGCTGCAGTAGCCCTTCTGTAGTTTCTTCAAGTTCTACCACATTACCAGGTAAATCAGTTCATGTTTTTGTTCATTCATGTATCGTGCCTGTTCCATGTGTTACATGGGATATTGTTTATATCCAATCGCCTGATATCCAATGGATTATCAATGATTTGATTGGTCACTGAATGCAATATGAAATTATAATATCAGGGGTTGAAATACTCTGGTGCACTATGCACAAAGATTATTAGCTAGTGCAAGTAAACTCAAAATATATTGTGCACACTGTGCATGTAGAAATGAACACAACATTTTCTCATTATATTCACTAAGCCTAAATTAAGTTCAACCAACATTGTAAGACAACTCAAAAAAAAAGCAAATTTTTTCGTGATCGCATCAATCAAGAACCCGTAAATTTGATTTAAACTTTAAAAGTGGTGCATTTCACAACAAGTTAGTGCAGGGAAATTTCTAATTCAACATGCACACTGTGCATGCAGGGAAAAAATTCTATTTCAATCCCTGGATATCATCTTCAAAGATGTCAAAACATACTAAATTAACATTTCATGTTGACCATAATAATGCAATATAACATCTTTAAACATGGACATTACATCATAGTTGGACCAAGAAAAAATAACATAATTTATTCTGGATTACATTTGAATAATATCTGTATAGCCATCGAATTTTTGTTTTTAATATGTAGAAGTTATAATTTAATAATTTTCAAATGTTTCAAACTATTTCTCCCAGCATAAAATTTTTGAAAATAACATTTCAGAAATATTTTTTTTTACTGTCACCTACTAAGGTAGTCTGAAAACAGGAACTTACATTTGACATCTGTCTGTTCGTTCATCTTAACCTGTATATCACACATACATGCTCTGATTAAGTTACATCTTCACATTCACATCATACATACATTTGTTTCATGATCTGATTCAAGATGGCCGAATGGCAGCCATTTTAAGGCTAAAAGTGCATCAAAATCACACATTTTCACTATTTGAATCTCAGTCATGTGCTAACACTTTAAATTCGTACTTACTTTGAACACAATGGATACTTGATTCCCGTCATTTTATTTTTCGCATAAGGTACAGAATGGACATTATCTGCTATTTTGTATTGTAGTTCCAAATCCATATTTCTGATTTGCCTGAATCGATCAGGGTCAAATTTTATGCATACATTAGACGTAATATGCCATGCATATACTTCAGGATTTGTATTGTGGTTCTATTCAATGTTAGCTGAATGGCAGCCATTAAGGCTAAAAATGCATCAAAAATTGCACTATTTCATCAGACATCATGTACATGAGCGTTTATGTCATGATTTTTCATATTTCTAAATAGCAGCAACTTACTCCAGTTTGTAACCTGTTTGTAATGTGAGTGTTGCATACTGACTAATAAATTAATGAATTACAAAACTGACTGCAGTGTGTATCATTAGGTGTCAATCAAGATTTCAAGTTTTTGTGTAACCATATTTCAGGTATTCATGATGGATTTAGTTGCATATAAAAAATTTGCCTGAGCTATTGAAATGTATTTCTAGAGATGACATGCACTTATCATTCAACGTACTGATATGTACAAAAATAACAGGGACTATCTCATCTCATTACTTATTTATTCTATTTTTAGACTATTATCCTCAGAAGAAACATAGTTCAGATTTCCTGTCTGGATATAAAATTCCAAAGTAAGTAAATAGCAGCCTGACAAGGTGGCGTGAGGTGCGCCCTCCGCAGTGCTCCAAACACAACACGCACCTGACAGAGCGATTTTTATTAGTACTAATCAAATTGCACGAACGTCAGATAGTGACTGCCATCAAAGAGTAACCATTCAAAGTTTATTTGTTGACATATAATGTGCTGGCAAATCCTGCCCAATGTTAATTTCATGATGACGTTGTTACCATGTCCACTGAAATGAATATTCATTGAAACTCATTGCAAAAAAGGCATGAACTTTGTGAATTCGCAGTATTGATCTTGCCGAAGAGACATACACTATTCTGTCAGGCATTAGTGAGATCTGATGCCGTTCAGACAGCGAGGGTGCTACTCAAGCCTGTATGTCAGGCTACTAGTACAATGTAAGTAAATAGCTACTATAAAAATTGCTTGATGCTTTGAAAAGATCTTACCAAACATACATTGTACATGCCTTCTGTCAAGTTCACCACAAGACTTTCTAGCCAAAAGTTTTCTGCATTTTTTTCTTATATTCCATTTTTTCCTTGCATATTTCTGGAGCTAAAAATTTGCGTCAATTTTCAATTTGTACTAAAAAAATTGGGGTATTTTTGTCCCAATCTTCTGAAAGAAAGTGCACACTAAAAGAGACTATTTTGTGAATTTGTCATTTGCTCAGTGAACAAGTGTTATCTGTCTAATACAATGTCCAGAATAATTTTGGAAAATCTATTCATGTTCAGAAAAAAGTCATTATTGTAATGGTAATGAGATAGTAAGGGGGATTTGTAATATCAAATATGTTAATATAATAGTTAAAGTGTGGCTCCACAATCCCAGGAATTACACCAGTGTATCATGGGAAATGTAATTTGCATGGTCCACCTAGTTGTTTACTTGGTACACAGCTGTTATCATTTCAACTGAAGGTGGTAATTCCGGAAGCTAACATCATGCATTTCATTTCATTAGAGTCAGGCATTTCATTTCATTAGAGTCAGGCATTTCATTTCATTAGAGTCAGGCATTTATTTCATTAGAGTCAGGCATTTCATTTCATTAGTCAGGCATTCATTTCATTAGAGTCAGGCATTTATTTCATTAGAGTCAGGCATTTCATTTCATTAGAGTCAGGCATTCATTTCATTAGAGTCAGGCATTTATTTCATTAGAGTCAGGCATTTATTGCATTAGAGTCAGGCATTTATTTAATTAGAGTCAGGTATTTATTTCACTAGAGTCAAGCATTTATTTCATTAGAGTCAAGTATTTATTGCATAAGAGTCAGGTATTTATTTCATAAGAGTCATGTATTTATTGCATTAGAGTCAGGCATTCATTTCATTAGCGTCAGGCATTTATTTCACTAGAGTCAAGCATTTATTTCATAAGAGTCAGGTATTTTCTGCATTAGAGTCAGGCATTTGTTGCATTAGAGTCAAGTATTTATTGCATAAGAGTCAGGCATTTATTTCATAAGAGTCAGGTATTTATTGCATTAGAGTCAGGCATTCATTTCATTAGCGTCAGGCATTTATTTCACTAGAGTCAAGCATTTATTTCATTAGAGTCAAGTATTTATTGCATAAGAGTCAGGTATTTATTTCATAAGAGTCAGGTATTTATTGCATTAGAGTCAGGCATTCATTTCATTAGCGTCAGGCATTTATTTCACTAGAGTCAAGCATTTATTTCATAAGAGTCG